AGTAAGGATAATAACTCTACAAACTCCTCAATAACATATCGTACCATATGTGAATTGTTACCTTCCCCTCAAAACGTAGTCGCGACACTGAATTTATGTAGAGCATCTCTGCAAGAAAAAGGTTACTGGTAACGATGTTTGCTTAATAATACAAGTGTGGCGAAATCATTTGTAAACCCCGCATTAAGAACATAGAAACCGTGGTTTCCATTCGACCCTTCCAAAAGGAGATACCTAAGACCTCGCAGAATAAATCCATGCTCATGAAATGCCATCACTACAATCACTGAATCTGTGATAGTTTTCCCAACTGAATTAATCCCCAACATTGCTATTTGCACTGGAATACATTTGTATTAGCATCCTTCTCCCAGGTAAATTTGCTTTAGTTAAAGCAGTCAGTCAGTGATATTAATCACTTTTCTACTAGAGGCTTTAGAGACTACAAAAAGTATTCACAGCTTAAGAAAGAACACTTCACTCTGCTTCGTTTCGACAGGCGGCCTGCCACTACAAGTTTCCCTCTCTCCACATCGTGGATGTCACGGATGAATCAACAAAAAGCAGGACCCAGAAAAACACCCCATTAATTTAGAAAAATCTGAACACCAAAAATTTTGCGTACCTCTGCATCTCGAAGGTTTAAGTCACCGCCGAAAAAGACGGTTTGTGCAGAGTCAACTTTCGCGGTAATGAACGTATAAACTTCGTTTAGCTGAGATATTCGTTCGCGCCGAAATCTAGCCGTACTTTCCAAATGAGTGGCCACAAGGACGCATGGACATTGTCCGCCTTCTAACTGCAGAATATTTCCATGCAAACATAACAAAAACACGCCAACAACAGTATGGAAAGTACCTTGACAATGACCATCTCGCGACCCATCGAAGTCTGAGAAAATGGAACAGTCTCCTTGTGCGTGCGCTTAGCGGTGCCCTTTCTGACGTAAATCACCGTAAAATACGTATATTCCTGGGTTCCAGCATAACATTCGTACTGTGTACTGAGCATACCATTCAGAACGGTCAAATTTTCGGCTACGACTTCTTGAAGAAACACGAAAGTAGGCAGTTCCCTAAGCCAATCAACCATACCGATCATCTAACGGAAACATTGCGGTGTTAAAGCCTACTGCAAAACGACCGTAGCAACAGCCTTTGCCCTCGTCACTCTACTCTGAGGCCTCAGCCCATCGATGTTCCATGACAAAATCTTAATCTCGGGAATCTTGCAGCCGGATCCATTATCCGGGCTTGTCGGAGCGGGTCCTGCTACTTCGAAAAACGTACTCACAGCATTCTAGAAACAGGAAAAGAGAAAATAAAACCGATGAATTAAAAAACGCCAAAAAAAATAATTACGTCCAGATTCCAGTCATAATTTTGTAGGAACATATGTGCACATGCAGAATCAGAACCGGTAATTTCGACAAAACGTCGGCACAAGGCATCATAATCAACGCTGCTATCTGCTTCATCATCGCTCGTTAGATCTATCACTGCGGGAGAAGACATGCCCATTGTAAGAAAGGTGATTCTGTTAATAAAAAGATAAGGCGGCAAAATTTACATAAAACAATCATCTAAATATTATGATCATGATCTTCATTTTTACAATCACTGTTATCCTCATCGGTATCATAGCCATGTTATCGGCATCATCATCAGTCAGCAAACTGCGACGTCTGGCCAGCGATATTCAACTTATCCATAATCGTTGTCCTGCTCGATCAGCTAGTCTCGTTTCTGTTCCATGGTCTACGTATATCGCTGCCACGAAGGCGACAACTCCTCAACTTGCACATATGAAGCCGCATCGACGGAAATTACAGATATCGGTTCTGCAACGACTAATGATTCGTGTCACTGAAAAATGGTAATCTGACTTCGATGAGACAGTCACGCCCTTTCACACTGAGGAACCGTAACTGACTCTTCTGGAAAGTTATTTACTCCCACCTTCTATAGTGTTAAGGTTTCGGCTCCGTAAAGCAATGCCAATGGATTGCAGAACTGACAGAACCTTATTCTGGTACATTACAACAGGACGCTCGTTCACCGGATGCTTGTAACATAGCATGTGGGGAGAAGGACGTTCGAGTTCTACAAATTCCAGAGGCAGCGGAATCGTTCCTTACCTTCAATATCAACAAGACAATGTTGCAGACAATGAATACTATATACCTGAGCCACGAAGATTTTTCTATCGTTCGCTTAAGAATGTAACGAAGTCTGTAACCACTTGCAACAACGTCAGCGTTCAGAATGTCATGACATTTCGTCCACGCCAATGCATGTTTTCCTAAGAACTGGAACTCTTCTTAGAAACCTCCCGTCTTAGGAAGACTAGCATAAATTTAGTCGAAACTTTATATTTTATAATAACGTAAAAGCTCAAAGCCATGGCGAACCTTCCAAAGATCTGAGTCAATGACTATTTAATCAATCGAATAAAAGATAACTATATATTTCAGTTTAAGGTCATATTTTATTTCATTTCTCATGCGTTCTTGCTTGGGCTTGAAAATGCCCTTGTCCAGAGCAATTCATGTGATGCGGTCGGCGCTTAAATACCATGGAAACTTGGCCTGCTTAAACGGTCCCTCTGGGCGACTAGGCGACTAGAAGCTAATGGGCGTTGCATTATGGTAATTACAACCCGGTGCAAAGACTTTTACTTGTCTTACACTACCACAGTAGTAAAATTGCCGTGTAAACCTCGTATTAGTATTTGAAATATAACGCAACTACTTCGAGCGGTTTTGCTATGAAAACCTGGTTATTCATCGACGATATCATTAAAAAACAAAGAGCAATTTTACACTCACTAGAACAAAGACCTCATTAATTTAAATATATTCATTCGATTTGCATAGGTCACAAATGGAGAGAAATCTCCCATATAGATCAATCAACTGCCGGGATATCAGTTGTGAAGCAGGGATGTCAATCAGATAACCACTTCTTAATCAGCGGGGCAATATCCAGAAGTAACGCCGACGAAATCACGATAAGCACGTGAGTATACACAAAAATTTACTGGAACTATCGATCAAAATGAAACCACGTCGCACTTCATGCTGCTGGCTCACAAATCAACGAAAGAAATCAATATAAAAAGTATCTAGAAAACGAAGAATCAGATAATTAAACCATGATCTGTTCGTGTCAGCACAATCACGTAGGTTTCGGTGTAGCATTTCTTCACCGATAATCTTTTAGTCGCGCCACAAACTCCGTACAGTTTTACCTGAAAATCATTATTATTCTATCGTAATATCGCACGCCTTTATTGCTGAGTTGTACTTCTTCTAGCCTAACTCGTTAGATTTCAATAGGGTAATGGTCACATATTTATTCACGTGACGTCAGTTATCCCCATGTTAATTTTTAGTCGATAATGGTGCAAGCATCTTGCGTCGCTCGGCTCCTGTATTCTTAATATGAGGTCGTTTGGCAAATTCGAGCGGACATATCGTCATCAAACTAGAATATTGTCGTCAAAACCGTATGTGAACTTAAGGAGTGTGCTTTCATATGCTTTAGTGCAGAAAAGCTTTTGAACGCCGTTACATTGAGAGGCATAATGTTTAGCTTTTAACGTAAGACGATATTTTATGGTGATTTGATGCTTCGGTGCCTCTGAAGAACTTCGAACCCGGGTACAAGCTGCTGAAATGGGCTTTCTTAGACGAGTCGCTGGCCTTACGCG